CTTGGCCATTGATGGGATTACACGGCACAGGGGGCAGTTGGTGGGTGCAACTGTCTAGCTACTGGAAGATGGGGGATCTGCGTGGAGGAGGCCCAGGCCCAATTCGAGCAGCTTTGGAGATCTCAGCCCCAGGTCCCGCACACCTGGGTACCTCTGCTGGTTCCTTCATGTGTGAGGCTCGTCTGAGTGTATGGAGAGTGGTCTTAAGCATGGCTGTGCCTGCTTCCGGAGGATTAAAAAAACTATTGGTTCTAAGTGAAGACTCTGGAGCAACACAAAGTTAGGGGAGTATATATGTATTTGTCAGTTATCAAATCATCCCCAAGTGTTTAATTTCTCTGAATTCTACTTTCTTCCTCTCAGAAAGGGAGAGGATAATGATATAAATGTCCATCTCATTAGACTCAATGGTACACCTTCAAGATCTCAGAAGCATAGCTCCCATTATTATTATCCAAGGGAATGTGAGACTATGAAGTATCAGCAAGTTGTATCACCTATCCCAATGGTACTTAAGGGGTCCCTATCATTGTGCATTATGCAGAAGATGCAAAGTAGACACATGCTATTTCACATCTGGATTCTGGGTTTCTGGAGAAGTGATCAATGAAGATTTACAAAGGTAGGACACAGTGATTTTGGTCTCAGCCTCAGTCACCCTCTCCTTCGATAAGCAGTTATTATTTTCCGAGGGTGAGCTATAAGAATCATTTGAGAATCACTCACCTCAAATAACATTCAGTATTCAATCAATGCCCTGAGCATGGGATGGAAGAGAATCTGATAACTAGTAACTCCTATTCCTGGCCCTAACCTGCTACTATGCCTACTGAGGGAGAAGATGGCATGGAAGTGGATCATGATAGGAGAAGAAGAACCATTTGGGAGACCTTCTGTCCAGCTGAGGAGTGGAGAACCTTGGTAAGATAGTCACCTAGTTAAGAATCAAATGCCAAAGCAGAGCTGTTTTTGCCTCTTTTTCCCTGGTCACCTTGGAAGTGACCCAGTTCAGGCTCATGTTTTCTTCCGCCAGTCCTCTACCAGGCCATTGTCACTCTCTATTAATCATGCTTAATGTCTTGTGTTTCCTTTCCAAATCATCAGAACAACAGACATTGAGAAAATGCTTAAACTACAAAGTCTCAATTTAGAGCTCTAGAAGTCTCAGTTTATTAATTCTTTCTGACGTGGCCCAGATGTCTCTAGAGTAATTAGTAACAGAACAGGGTTAATGTAACTGCCTCATGGTGATAAAGATTCATTAGGATTGACTGCTCAGTAACAAGAATTAAGCAAGTCGAATTGAGTTTAACCTAAAAGGGTAGCATCAGACTCGCAACCTATTGAACTCTACCTAGCGTGTCTTCATTATATTTAATGATCTAGCAGATACAATATTATTCCAGGTCAACATTATTAGTTTTTCTTATTTTTATCCATTTGTTCCAAACTATATGATGGCAAGGCTTACCAACATATATAAGTTCACACTCTTTGGGAAAGTAGGAGGGAAATGAGAGAGATTGGGCTGATTTCACGATCTTAACAATTTGCAAGAGTTTTGTAGACTCCAGACTGGCCAAGTTTGGGTCTCAAGTGTGCTGAAGCTCAAGTACACCTTCATTAACTAGACCAGACAAATCAAAGTATTCTGGGAGTTAAGAAATGCTGCCAATTTCCCTTTAGAAGTATCAACTGGTCTCTTCTTTCTTTCCACTGCTATCAGCCAGATGCTCATTAGTTCATATTTCAATGAATCTGAGTTCTAAAATAGTCTCTCTGGCACAAGTCATCCAATTTAATTCAACTAGTGTCTCTGAACAGTGACAAAGAGAGCTGGCCTAGATGGTGGCTTGTCGGCTTGTCTGATGAGCATTCCGCATCAACTCCTGCTACTGTATATTATAACAATCATTTTCTCAAAGGCTAGTTTTTATTGTATTGCTTCCCTGAGATAAAGCTTCCTCCTCAACTCAGCAACCCCATCAGTGACCTCTGAGCCTTCATCCAAGGTCTTCTTTTCTGGAATGTTCTTCTGTAAATGCTCTTGCTGCTGTAAGGGACAGCTAAGTTTCAGTCACCTCCAGTGACCTTGTATCAGACCAAATTGAACTATAAATCTTTCTCCTAACAGTAGTTATCTTGGCACGCTAATATATATACATATGTATTCATTAAACAATTATATATTAGGTCTTCTTTGATACTTGGAATCACATTCTGCCTAGAGTAGGTGTGAAGAACAAATGTATACTATATGTAAGGTAAAGGTAAAGGCCCTCCCGTTGATCGTCGATTTGCTCGAGCGGGCCCAGTAACGTCTCCATTGGAGACTTTGTTGTTACTGTGTCTGGCATATCTAGTACTCTCGGTAGCTTGCCGGGCTCTCCGAGAGGGGCGGAGGAATCGAACTCGGGTCGGCCATGTTGGCCGCTTGTAAGGCGAACGCCCTACCCGCTGTGCTATTGCTCCAGCCCGTGCATACTATATGTTGGGAGTTATTTTTTTCTATATTTAATCTTTCTCTAGGGAAGTTCGACATCAAAACCTTTAAAAAAAGTAAACAGCTCTTAAAAGGAATGTAATTTAATCCCAGAATTACAATGAGCGATTCTAGTCTTAGAAATAAATCAGGGAAAACTTGGAGAGGTTTATAAAGAATAAAGCTCATGATTGAAGATGCTTGCTGGTGTGTGTGTGTGTGTGTGTGTGTGTGTGTTTGTGTGTGTGTGTGTGTGTTACAACAGAAACTGAAAAATCCCTTAGGGGTCTGTCAAGAAAATCCTGACTAATTCTTAACAGTTAATAAAATCACATTTTGAAATATTTGCACACAGGAGAATCTGCTCACAAAACATCACCAAGTGTAAGAAGCAGGTAATAGAAGAATACATCCAGCAGGTTCTCAATGAATGCTGCTTCCATTCAGTGTCATTTTATTACAGTTTTGATGGAAAAGAAGCATAATGGGCTCCTGGCCAGTGCTCCTGTGTATGTGGAGTATTCTCCTAATTGTGGGTTTTCTCCAGGCACTCGGCTTCCTTCTGTGTCCCATACATGTGCTCCTGTGGTTCCCTGCGCATCTCAGTTGTGCCACTCTAAGTGTGTGTGTGAGACGATGATTGAATGGCAACTTGTCCAGGGTTAGGCACCTACCTTGTGCCTATGCTGCCAGAATAGGCTCTGGGCACCCACAATCCTGAACTGGAGAAAGTGAGATGGAAGAATGAATGAATAGAAGTACAATTTACCATGATAAGGGTTTTGGTCTTTCTTTAGAAATTTGTTATATGTATATATGATATATATGTATATTATATTGTGTGTGTGTGTGTGTGTGTGTGTGTGTGTATAATACTCAGGAGTAACTCCTAGCTCTGCACTCAGGAATTATCCCTGGAAGTGCTTAGGGGAACCATATGTGATTATGGGAATTGAACTCAGGTTGGTCAAGTGCAAGGGAAATACCCCACCTGCTGTACTATTTCTCCAGCCCCAATTTGGTGATATTTTTGTGACCAGAAATAAGTAATGCCATAAAAATCAACTCTTATTTATATTATTTTGTGTTTGATAACAATGACTTCTCTAGATATGGCTTCACTTAGAGTTGGATTTTCCAAGACCCTATCAAGGACATTAAGTGAGGTCTACTACCCAGTGACATTTTACTTTACCATAGAGAAAAGGGACATCCTGAGTCATCTCTCATAGGGAAGCTTGCAGAAGATTGTTTTTCTCTTTATTGTTTTATATGCATTGAAATTAAGGAGCATGGAACTAAAGTATTATTAAGATGTGGAACTGTACCTTTAGCTAGAAATGGCCTCTTTTCAACTACGAACATTGACTGGGATGGATGCATGCATTGATCAAGTAACCAACAGAAGTCATGTTTAAGAAGGACACAAATAAAACTCAACACCATGTGCGAGACATCTTGCTATCCTGGAAACTGCACCAGAGAAGGAGGATGTGGAATGAGGTTCTGGGACTCCATTGCAGAACTCCTGTCACTGTCAGCCTTGCACCCATCACTCACTCTCTTTGTCTCATTTCTATTGTGTGAAATAGAGGATTGTTCTCACCCTCCATTCCCATGACTGACAAAGATAGATAAGAAACTATTCCTGAATCCAGCCAAATATTGTAAATAGGCAATTGATTTAATATGAGGCAGAGTTATGAGCTCCGTGTGAGAGGCCACTTCTGAAATAGTTCATCTCCGACTATACCACCACGTGGATCACAGGCTGCCACAAACTCTGGAGTCAGGCCACTGCCATCTGATGCAAGGCCCAATTTAATTGCATGAGGACAATTTCCAAGGGCACTTTAAAAAATCATTTTAGGACAGAAACCTTTTTTCTTTCTTTTTGGATCATACCTGGCAATGTCAGCAGCTACTCCTAGATCTGCACTCAGAAATTGCTCCTGGTGGTGTTTGGGTACCAAATGGGATTCTGGGGATAGAGTCCAGTTGGCTGTGTTGAAGGCAAATGCCCTACACACTGTACTACTGCTCCAGTCCCCAGCATCCTTCTTTTAAAAGTATTTCCCACAATACTTGGAATGTTATGGTCTTTATCTTCTCTCCCCCCAACCTCCCTTCTTTGGTTAAGATACCTGAATTTTAGAAAATATGTCAAATAATTTAAAGCGAAAAATAAATAAATAAATAAAAACTTTGAATAAGCTCATTGCAAAGGGAAAAACCTTATCACTGCAAAGAATTTGATATTCAATGGAATCGACAAATTAGTCTCAGAAATACCATGTAGCTGTGGACAGGCTCTTGGCACATGGAATGAGCATATCAGAAGCTTTTTGACACAAACACACAACCCAGGCCACGACGCCGTGTATCAAGACACACAAAGAAACACTCCGACTCCCAAGGTGGGGGGGTCCCTCGCAGAAGGCCTGAGAAAAAGAAGATGCTAAAGCGCGTAGACCATGTCCCTTGAAGGGAAGGGGCTGCACCCCGAGGCGGGACTCACCTGTTAAGTGGTTGGCAATCCTGGCAGTGGGTTTGGGAAGCAGGGCGGGGGGCTGCTTGAGAAGGGGCAGCTGCTTCACTGGGGTCTCTTCATGGTCTCCAGAGAAAGCAGCAGGTTTTTTGGGGGGCAGTAGCAGGACTGGTTTGGCGGAAGGATCTTGGGGCAGGAGTCCAGAGTCACTGGCAGAGGGACTGTCTTCAGACACTGAGGGCACAACCACAGGACACACAGGAGACATTACACAGACGCTGCTCAGGCGGGCGGGTGGTGGGGCCCACGGGCCACGTGGACAGGGACAAGGGTTAGCGACACAGCAGAACCGAGAGCCCAGGCACTCACGGGCATGCAATGGTGAGGACACCAGTGGACCAGAGAGAGGGGGACACGTGCCAGGGAAAGGCGGGTAGAGCAGGAATGGGCAAAGGAAGAGGACCCCCTCCCATTCAGCCAAGACCACCCTGATCCTCAACTCTTCCATGACGGTACATGTTCTGTGGACCAGCATAACTCCCAAATGTTGCTCTGAGGCCAGTCAGTAGCGAACACTGGAGTCTTCCATCCTTCCGCCAGACTGTCTGGGCTTTCCAGAGAGTGTTAGAATATAGATGTAGGATGTGAGGGGTGGGGGAACGGGGGTTGCAGCTGCGGCTGTGATCTCCACTCCCTGGGCCCAGAATACCTAGTAGGGCTGCAGGCTTCAACCAGTGAGTGGCTGCTTTTATAGGGACACTTCCCTGGACTCTCTTGCCCCCCTTCCCCTGCACACACTGGTCCTGCAAACTCTAACATGGCAAAGGCAGGATGCAACAGACTGTAGATTTTTCTTCCCTTTTCTTCTTTCTGTTCACTTATTTTGATTTTTTAAAAAAATTTTGGGGCCAATACCCAGTGGTGCTTGTGGCTTATTTATTCCTATTTATTCCTATTTCTACACTCAGGGATCATTCCTGGTAGGGTTTGAGGGACCCTTTGGGGTTTTGAGGATTGACTCCCTTGGCTGTGTGCAAGGCAAGTGCCCTACCCACTGTATTATCGCTCTGGCTCCAATACTTGTTTAGATTTCTGTTCTGTCTTGGGATCACAGTTCTTTCCCCGGTGGAGATGGAGACCCCAATGGATTCAGCCACCCAGGATGCCACTTTGGGTCCCTAGAACGGCAGTGTCACTGCTCACAGTGACAGTCAAATCCATCTCAGTCAGATATCATTAGGAAATTCAGGTACAAAACTCGCGGCTGTTTCATTGGAAAAATGAGTCATGGGGCCAGGAACATTGCACAGCAGGTAGGGAACTGGCCTTGCATGCAGTCAACTTGGATTTGATCCCTGGCACTCCATAAGACCCCCCCACCCCCCCACCCCGAGCTCTGCCAGGAAAGATTCCTGAGCACAGAGACAGGAATACACCCTGAGCACAGCTGAGTATGGTCCCCAAACAAAAACAAAATAAAAAGTAAGCCCAGCTTGGGTGTCAGTGGGGGAGAATTAGATCACGGCCTTCCTCCCTGCCCCCCTCCCCCCACCCACCCTAGGGGCTGCCAGAGAAAGAAGCTTCTCAGGGACTCAGGGATTCTTCCCTCATAGGGGTAATCTCGGTCCCTGAACTCAGTCCTGGAGCTGCTAACATCCAGGAGAAAGGGAGGGCACAAGGAGGGGGCAGCAGTTATGGGTGCAGCTTCGGGCTGAGGTGGACAAAGGCCACCCCTCCCATCTGGCCCGAGCTTGCTGACCCGGGTATGAGGGTCACACAGAACTCACTGACCAATTGTTGGAATTCCAAAGTGGGCCCAGGCCTGCTCCTCATGGGCAGTGGGGAGGGTCTCGGAGTTGACCTCTGAGGGAATGGATACTGGTACTGGGCCCTCTCTGGGGTTTGGACAAAGAGGAGGAGACTCATAGGCCTCAGAAATCACCATGGGGGATGGAGTGATAGGACAGCTGGTAGGGTGTTGGCTGATTCGGGTTTGATCCTTGTTACCCTATAGCGTCCCCTGAGCCCCCTTCTACACTCAGTAATTTTTGAGCACAGAGTCAGGAGTAAGCCCTGAGCACCTTTGAGTACAGCTGAAAAGCTCCCCCCTCCCACCAAAAAACAAACAAACAAACAAGCAAACAAAAAGAAACCTGCAGAATTTTAACAGTCAACTGTGTCTAGTATAACGGACATGAACACATCGGTTGGTCTGATCTCATAAGTGATGCCATTAACTAGACTGATAGGACCTTTAGCTGGCGTCCTGGGAGCAGGATTCAAGGGCAGGCTCACAAATCTTTGAACAAGAGAGGCAGGTACCACACAGAGTGGTGGATTTTTTCCTCCCTTGTTGAACAGAAGTGAATATAGAAAACAAACCATGACATTTAAGATCATCAACGCCACAAAAAAAAAAAAAACTATAATGAGATTAATGTTACCAACGTTTTCTTTTTTTTTTTTCTTATTGGATCACACCCAGCAATGCTCAGAGTTACTTCTGGCTCTGTGCTCAGGAATTACTACTGGAAGTACTTGGGAGACTATAACGGATGTTGGGGATTGAACTCGGGTCAGCCGCATGCAAGGCAAACAACCTACCTGCTGTACTTTCGCTCTGGCCCACCAACATATATTTTTTTTAACTTGATAAAAACACAAAGTGCAAACAACCTCCATATTCTGATATTCCGTGCATATACTCATAGTCTGACTGTGTCTTCATTCTCAGGAAAGCCTTAGGATCATACGATTTGGAAGAGAAGACAAAGTTCCCCAAGGACACAACCCAGGTCGCATATTACCTGTCCCATCCATGATGTCTGAAGGCTGGAGCACCTCATACGAGCAGGGATCCCTGGGCATGGGGACCGGTTCCATTTCGGATAGGGCAGGCAGAGACAGCTGGCTGGAGCTCAGGGATGGCCCGTTTTCCAAGGAGTCGTCGTCATTGGAGATGGAGAGATCCCCATCTGTCAGAGGAGGAGACAGAGTTAAACCACAGTGAGGGTGACAATCTCTCTCTTTTTTTCACTTTTTAAAATGGAATCGCCATGAGATTCAGCTACAAAGCTTTCATGTTTGAGTTTCAGTCATACTATGATCGAACACCCATCCCTCCACCAGTGCACATTTATTTTCCACCACCAATGTCCCCAGTAACTCCCCCTCCCCGCATTCATCACACCTCTCCCCCTACCTCTATGGCAGACAATTCCCCCCATAGTCTCTGCTTTTGGGAAATACAGATACTGAGAGGCTATCACATTTGGTCCTTCATCTACTTCCAGCAGGAGGGTGAAAATCTCTTGAGTGCATTTAGATGCTGGCTACCAACCTTTGTCTGGGTTGGTGCCTAAACAAATCCGTGTTGTTTGGCTTTTAAGACATTTATTTAATTTTCAAGCTTCGACATCTAACAAGACCAACATTTTCCAAATATCTCAGCAAATGTTTTCTCTCCGTCTTTCTAACCACACTATTTTGTTTGCACAACTGACCCTTGAACAATATGGGTCTGAACTGAACCATTGACTTTATTTTCAGCAAATACTGGAAACAGTTTGGAAGACTTGCCACAATTTGAAAAAGACAGATGACTGCATACGCTAAAAATATCCAAACATTTAATACAAAGTTAAGTAAGTCATGAATACATGAAAATATGTAGATCATATTCTGACACATTATTTGCTACCATAGAATCTACACAAATCTGTTATTAAAATGTTAAACTGATTAAAACTTCCATATACGAAAAAAACCATGAACTGCTTAGAAAAAGGTGAGCAAATGTTATCTTCTTCTTCTTCTTCTTCTTCTTCTTCTTCTTCTTCTTCTTCTTCTTCTTCTTCTTCTTCTTCTTCTTCTTTTTCTTCTTCTTCTTCTTCCTCTTCTTCTTCCTCTTCCCTTTCTTCCCCTTCCCCTTCCCCTTCCCCTTCTCCTTCTCCTCCTTCTCCTCCTTCTTCCTTTGTCGTCATCTTTGTCTTTTTTTCCTTCTTTATTTCTTTTTCATCTTCTTCTTCTTTGGGGACTACACTCAGCAATGCTCAGAGGGCTTACTCCTGGCTCTGCACTCAAGGATCATTCTGGTGGCTTGAGGAACAAATATTGGGTGCCAGTGATCAAACCTGGGTCAGCCATGTGCAATGCAAGTATCCAACCTGCTGTACTACCAGTTCAGCCCTAATAGTAACATTTTGAGGGGTCAAAAATTGTATGTGGACCCAAGAACGAGGCTCAGTGGTAGAGCACCTGTCTTTCATTGGTGAAGCTGTGAGTTTGATCCCCAGCACTCTCCCAAGGCTAAGTATATCCCAAGTCTGCCAGTATGGCCATTATGCCACAACCAAGAGTGTGTTCCCAGCACTGCAATATTTGTTTGAGCTCCCTGGCACCACATTGATTTTTTTCCCCCAGCACCAAAATGGGGTGGTGGTTAGACTCCCTAACTCCACCCAGGCTTGTTCTGGGGCCAGCATTATTTTTCTTTCTTTTTTAAAATTTTTTTGTTATTTTGAGTCACACCAAGTTGTGCTCAGGACTCATTTCTAGCTCTGATGTTCAGAGCTCCCTCCTGGCAGTGCTCAGGGGACCATCCTCAGAGCTGAAAATGAAGCAGGGTTAGCCACATGCCAGATAAGTGCCTTGCCTCCTGTACTATCTCTCTCAGCAGTATTTTACTTAATGAGAATAAAATGAACTTCAAGGTTTTGGACAGTTGATAAAACTGATAGGACCCAGAGATGGGGAATGCAGGACTGGGAATTCCCACTTCGGGAAGCCAAGGACTTCTGTCACTCAGTACCAGGAATGGGGCACTTTAAGACATCAGGAAATCGCTCATTTCTTCTGGCATCCCAGCAGGGCCTTAGCCCAAGGATGCTGGGATTCACACAGCACCTACCAGGGAACAGGCCTGTGGGCAAGCTGAGCTTTGATCTCAGTCAAACAAGGGGGCTGCTAGTTAACACCACGGTAAGGATCAAAGGCTCATGCACAATGGCCATTTGTCAAATCAAAATTCCCCCAGTGTGATTTCATCCTAGCCCAGGGGAGGCCTAGGAAACTAGACATTGAAATTAAATTAATTTTTAAAGAGGACTGAAAGCTGTTCCAGTAAGATGAATAAATACCCAGATGAAAGACTCTAAGTTATGCTTAGCTAGAAATGCAGAAGACTGTAAAGCAATTACCTGATTTAAAACTGAGAGTAGGAAGATTTACTTGTAGAACTGAGGGACTCCAAGGTGACTCTTGGGTAAATAATCCCTTTCCTATGTGAAGCTCCTCCCAAGGGCTTTATTTTATACATAATGACAGACATGGCAAAGGATTCTTTTACCACCTCCTCTTCCCCAATTAGAATTGGTCTCATAGTTTATATTTAACACGGTAACTTCCGAAGGTACAGACTTTTCACAAAATCCGATTCAAGGGCATATCTGAACCTTATATATGACCTGGATTTTTTTATAAGATTATATGTGACCTAAATTTTCTATAGACATGGAACAAAATATAATGGATCCTAAAATATCAAAGCCTGGACACGTGAAGGCTGTGCTTTCCTTTTCTTTCTAGTTCACTTTTTTGAAAGCCCCATATCATTGTGATTAATAGTATGATCATGACAGTTAAGGACAGAAGAAGAGCAGGTACAGACTCCTCGGCCAATCCCAGCTGAACTGAGATGGGAAGGGTCTTGGGTATAAATACCATCTCCCTTCTGAAAGGGATGGTTTCCAATTCTCTTAACATTCTTTCATTTAGCCTGTTTATTTATTTTTTTTAAATTTATTTATTTATTTTTTAATAGTGAGAGACCATGAGGTACAGTTGTAGACCTACACATTTTTGTGTTTGGGCTTCAGTCATACAATGATCAAATACCCATCCCTCCACCAGTGCGCATTTCCCACCACCACGGATCCCAGCATCCCCTCTCCCCCCCCCAGCCCCCATCCCACCCTGCCTCTGTGGCAGGGCATTTCCCTCTCTCTCCTTTTGAGTGCTGTGGTCTGCAAAAGAGGCATTGAGTGGCAATCATGCTTGGTCGACAGTCTACCCTCAGCATGCTCTCCCATCGTGGGCGGATCCTCCCAACACCCTTTGTTTGGTGTTCCCTTCTCTTTCTGAGCTCCCTTTTCCCCTAACATGTGTGGTTGTCCTCCGGGTCATTAAGTAAAATTCCTGGTACTAATCTCTGCCATACTTGGGTGTTAGTTTCCTATTTTGTTACTTTATGTTCCCCAGATGAATGCAATCTTTCTATGTCTATCCCTTTCTTTCTGAGTCATTTCGCTTAACATGATACTTTCCATGTAGTACCACTTGTATGTAAACTTCATGACTTCGTCTTTTCTAACAGGTACATAGTACTCCATTGTGTGAATGTGCCAGAGTTTCTTCAACCAGTCATCTGTTCTTGGGCACTCAGGTTTTTTCCAGATTCTGGCTATTGTAAAGAGTGCTGCAATAAACGGATGCCATATGGGAAGCAACTATGCTCCAAGTTCCCGGTTGTTGGAATAATGCTGTGGCTGCCTTTCTGCTTATTATATCTCCAGGAAAGCGTTTTAATTTTGGATGTTCCAAGTGCAATAAAACTCCTGGATGAGATACCCTGAGGAGGGGGCAGGTTTCAGAGCTATTGCGAAGTTCTGCTTCTTTAGAGCAATGATGCAGCCAAATGACTGCTGCCCCTTTTCATAGTTAAATGCGCTGAAGGAGAAACTCAGGAAAGGCTGTAACCGCACCTGAATTCCTTCGGACTCTCTCTACCAAATCTGGGTTCCATCAAAGTAACTGACCGAGAACTAGAGCTTTGCCAGGAATGGAGAAGCAACATTACTTACTCTTCCTAGGATGAGTCAATTCTAACAACAACAACAACACATCAGCTCCCTCTGGATTAAAAGGACCTTTGCTACATCACAAAAGCAAAACCACTTTTGAGAGGAAGCATGTGATTTACACTTATTTCATGGTTCCTAATTATACAGCTCTATAGAAAATGTAAGATGGGGGCAGAGATAGGACTTAAGGCACTTGCCTTGCACATGGCTGATCTGGGTTCAATCCCCAGTATTCCATATGGTTCCCCATGCACTGCCAGGAGTGATCCCTGGACACAGAGCCAGGATAAAGACCTGAGCACTGCCAGGTGTGGTTCAAGAATTAAAAAAAAAAGTTAGAAAATCTAAGAATAGCAGAGAAAATTGGGCAGTAATCACCCGTTATCCTTAAGCTAAGTTTTCTTTTGATACTTATTTTCCTTAGATTTACCATACTGTATCAAATTTTATCTTTTTATCTTACTTATTATAAACATTACGATTTGGAAAATTATCTTAATTACATGAGATCAATTATACATATCTATTTATATATCTCCGTATGGTTCATCATAGAGATTTTCCATATTTTATGCTTTTAGTAAAAATGACAACTTCACTATTTATATTTCTTATAAAATCTTTTCTTAAATTAGAATTCTCCCCTTAGGTGAAACCAACAAAATTTATTTGCACTAAGGATTTAAAGTGTAGTGACACATATTTGAATCTCGTAAAATTGATTTTCTAAAAGGCTTTTACATTTTTGTTTTTATGCCACACCTGGCTGTGTTCAGGGGAGACTCATGATTCTGTGCTCAGGGATCACTCTTGTCCAGGCTCAGGAGACCATATGGGGTGCTGGAGATTGAACCTGGGTTGGTCACATGCAAGGCAAGTATCCTACCTGCTGTACTGACACTTAAAAAGTTTTAACTTTTAAAATTTACACAACAGCAATTTATACATAAGCTTCTTAGATTTTGATCATTTCTTCAACATTAACTATATTTTATCTTTATTTTATATTTTATCTATCTTCTATCTCAAACCTACACATCCAGTAGAAATATAACAAATCGTTTAATAGGTACAACAAATTTATTATAATTTAATTTATGCTATTATTTATGACC